TATCTCACAGGATTTGGAAACTATACTTCTGTTAAAGCAGCCTAAGATAGCATTCGGCTTTTTTGTAGCCACATCACATGGTTGGCTCATATTCAGCTTGTGATCTACAATAACTCCAAGATCCTTCTCACTCATAGTATCGTAGTATTCAGTACTGGTTTACCATTGCCTTCTTCTGCACAATACTAACAAAAGTTAGCTTGAATGTCACTGCTGTTGTCTGTGAAAGATCCTCCATCAGTGTCACCTTCAGCTGCCCAGTAGCTGCCCTCCAGAAGTTTCTCTGTGCCTGTACACCATTGAAAGTAACTACAGTATTCCCATATTCTGATCTGGCCATTGCTCCTGAAGAGGGTGGATGCCTATTAGTTTGGTGCCTCAGGTATGAACATTCTGCTTTGGGTGACTCTGCTAGGAGTTCAAGATGGTAATGGAGTCTAGCCTGATGGATGGCCTAGTTCTCAGCTTCTCTGTCATATGCATACCCCTTTCACCACATAAACGTAAAATAAAGAACTATTAATCTCCTGTTAGTAGCTGATTCTTTTTTAAACCTCTGCAGAATTTAAAGTTCACTCAAAGAATAGATTTGCATTACTAAACTCAGTTGATTGTGAACAAGAACTATTGTGGATTGAAACCAGAGATATTATTAAGGAAGAATGCAGAAAAAACAATTCTTGTAGTTAAAAGAAGCAGAAAAACCTGCTTGGATGATGAAACACTTAAAATTGTTGAGGATAGGTGAGCAGCAAAAGTAAAAGGTTACAGAAGTAAAGTCAGATTCCCGAATGCAGCTTTTCAGAGTTGGTCACATATTTTAATGGCCAGTGCAAAGAAAGAGAAAAGAACAAAATGAGAAAAACAATACATTTTTCAAAAGATCAAAAAAATCAAAGAGAAGCTTAAGTCTAGATCAGGAATGCTGAAAGACCACAGGAGATGACCAGGGTAACATAAAGAAAAGGTGGAAACAGTTTACTGAAAACAGTATACAGAAAAGTTGAAGGATGACGGGAATCTTTGAATGATTCTATAAATCCTATGGTGAAGGACCTGCAATTCCAGAAAGTGAAGTAAAATCTACTCTAAAAACATTGGGAGAAATTAATCACCAGGGGTTGATGGCATACTGATAGAGTTATTTCAGTCTGTCAAAATCCTAACAAGTATATGCCAAGAAATATGGATAATGAAACAATGACCCACAGACCGATAATGTTTAGTATACAGTGGTGCCCCACTTGACGACAATAATGCGTTCCAGGAAAATCGCTGTTAATACGATATCGTTGTCAAGTGAAAAAAAAATCCATTGGAATGCATTGAAAACCGGTCAATGCGTTCCACTAGGGGAAATACCTCATCGTCCAGCGAAGATTGCCCATAGAGTACCGCCGATCAGCTGTTCAAAATCGCTGTAATGCGAAGCTTCCCTTTGGAAAGCAGCCATTTTGAGAGGGAGGGAAGCCATTTTGCGGAGGGAAGCCATTTTGCGGAACCAGAAAAATCATCGTATAGCAAACAAACAGTTTGCGAAGCAGGCTCCTAATCAACGTAATGCGGATTTCCCCCATAGGAGCCATCATTTTGCGATCCCAATAGCAATCACAAAAATGTCATTGTTAAGCAATTTCGACGTCATGCGGGGTAAGCGTATAGTGGGGCACCACTGTACATTCCAATCTCCAAGAAAGGAAATGCCAAGAAGTACAGTAACTATAATAACATTGTTTGAATATCCCATGCAAGCAAAATGATGCTTAAGGTGTTGCAACAAAGGTTTTTGCCTTATATGGAGTGAGAAATGCCTGATGTTCAAGCTGGATTTTGAAGAAGAAGAGGTGTTCGAGATTGTATTGCAAATATTTGCTGACTACTGGAGCACAGCAAAGAACTTCAGAAGAATATAGACTGCAGCAAAGCCTTTGACTGTAAAGATTATAAGAAGTTAAGGATTGCTCTGAAAATAAATGGGTGTGCCTCAGCACTTGTTTGCTTGATGTGTAACCTGTATTGTGGACAAGGAGCTACTGTTTGGACATAATATGAAAGGACAGAATGGTTTCCTATAGGCAAAGATGTCAGACAAGGGTGCATTTTATCTCCCTATCTGTTCAATCTGTATGCAGAAGATATCATATGGAAAGTGGGGTAGGTTAAGATGAAGGAGGAGTGAAGAAACATCAAACATTTAAGACATTCAGATGACACATCTTGGCAGAAAGCAGCAATGACTTGAAATGACCTGATGAAAGTGAAAGAAGGAAATGTCAAGCAAGACTGCAGTTGAAAATTAAGAAGACAAAAACCATAACTACAGAAGAGCTATACAGTTTTAATGTTGACAATGAAGAAATTGAAATTGTTAAAAAAATTTGATGCTTGGGTTCAGTCATCAATCTAAAGGGAGACTGCAGCTAAGAAATCAGAAGATTGAAATTTGGAGGGGCAGCAATGAATTAGAAAATACCAGTCAAGTGTAAAGATGTGTCACTTGACCAAGATCAAGATAAAATGCAATATTGTATTCCCAAATACTATGCATGGGTGTGGAAGCTTGACAATGAAGAAAGCTGATGGAAAAAACAACAGGATTCATTTGAAATATAGTTCTGGAGGACAACTTTGCAGATGTCCTGGACTGCCAGAAAAATGAACAAGTGGGTCCTAAATCAAATCAAGCCTGTACTATTTCTAGAGGCAACATTTTTGACGAGGCTGTCATACTTTGGGCATATTATGAGAAGCCAAGATAAAATGCTAGGAATGTCTGAAGGCATCAGGAAAAGAGGAAGACCAAATATGAGGTGGATTGACTCTCTAAAGGAAGCAACAGGCTTGGATTTGCAAGATCTGAGCAGGGCAGCTGAGGACAGGACATTTTAGAGAACTTGCATTTATGCGGTCGGTGTCAGTTGTAGGCCAGTGGTCAGGGAACAGGGGTAGATTACCCCAAATGGGGTAAAAATGAAAATCCTGGGAGTAATGAGGACATGATCCTAATCCCCTTCCCTCCCTCCTCCTCCTCTTTTTCCTCCTCTTCTGCCCAGAGGGGGGATCCCTGGCTGCCCGATCGCCCCCTTCCCCCCCCCTTCTCCAGCCTGGCTGCAACCAAGCCACCATAGATGGCGGCCGGCGACGGGCCCCAGCCAGTGGCACAGGGCAGCAGAGGCAGCAGTGGTGGGACCGGCCATGGCAGAGGGCAAGGCTGGGGCAAGTGGCCAGAGCGCCCCAGCCAGGAGAAGCCTCTCCTTCCATTGCCTGGAGAGGTGGATTGCGGTGGAGGGGGGTGGGCACGGCCACGGCGGCAGCCCGGGCCAGGCTCAGCCTCCCAGTGCCAGGATGCTGCTGCCCTACACCCTGTTCCCAGAGGAGCCCGTCAGGCGGCAGTGGTGCTCACCTGGCCGTGTGGCTTCCTTTGGCACCGGCTGGCCGGTCCTGGTGGAGCCTCTTTCTGTCCATGCGGCAGCTATTGCGGTGCTTTGACAGTGAGGCCCGCGGGAGCCCTGACACCAAGGCCCAACGCGGCTGCCGGTGCCGGTGCTGAAGCGGGAGGCACCGTTGGGTGCTCCCAGCAAGCAAGCCACTTGCTGCTCTTTGACAGCTGCCCGGGAGCCGCCCACCAGAGGAAGAGGAGGCCGGGGCACAGGCAGTGAGGCTTCTGTGATGGTATTCGACTGGCTGCGCGTGACCGAGATCCTTCCTTTCAAATGAAGGGGGTAATGTTGGTGTATATAAATATTTTGGGGGGTAAAAGGTAACAAAGTTCCCTGACCCCTGTTGTAGGTGGCTTGAGAGCATATCGCAACAACAACAACAAATACGAGGTTAAAAGAGATTGGTTTGAGAGAGAAGCAGCAGGGTCGGAAGAGTTGCTGGCTGGCCAGTTGCGGAACTTCTTCCCCACAGACTATGTGTGGTCTTCAAGCTTGAGATTCACCATTTGACTGAAGGTGAGCAGAGCTGTGGAACATCTTTATAAACGTTTAAACAAGGACAATTCTTTTTGAAAGTGTTTCTGTTCACGTTGTCATTGCATCCACAGTGGACAGTTTGTATTCAGTCTTATTTTTTGTGTCATAAATATTTGGTAAACAGCATGCCATTTGAAGCAGCAACCACAGGAAACTGCTACAGAGTTAACACCTTCCCGTTGACCCAATTTACTTCTTCAGACTTTTGTTTCTCAAAACTAGGTTATTGAACCCAGCTGTTCAGCAAACATGTTGCACCAGATGTCCTTTAGCCCCTGCCCTTGACTCATATTCTAGCAGTTGATTGCATTAGACTGCCTTCGTGCCAACTGCAGCTGCACAGTAGAAGCAGCTATGACATTCTGAACCAAAATCAAGATGACAACTCTTCACTCTATCAGAACAGCTTGACTGACTTTCCTATGTCTTGTTTAGAGCAGCAGCAGCAGTAGCAGCAGCTTATGAGCACAGAGTAGGCTGAAGTGGGCTTTGGTATGTGCCTTCAAGTTGGAACTGACTTATAGCAACCCTGATAGGGCTATCAAGGCGACTGAGATATTTAAGGAGTGGCTTTACTAGCTCTGCACCCCCAGTGAGTCTTTATGGCTGTGTGGGGATGTGAACCCAAGCCTCCTTAGTCCTACTCCATCACTCTATCCCTTATGCCATGCCGAGTATCCAAATGGGTGTTGGGGTTTTTGCAACCTCACATGCTAACTCTGAGTAAATGTGGCTGGGAGGGACCTTTCTGCGCTGGGGTGATTTTCAAGCACTAACCAATAGTTCCTTCCTGCTTCTGAGTTCAAAGAGAGTCATGTCTCTGTGCTCAGTGCTTTTTCCCTATCTAGAGTCTGTTAAGGCCTGTTGTTAAAAGCAGTCATGTTTGTCACTTTGCTGTTTGATCTCTTCAATTGTAAGTAATAAAACTTTTTATTCTTCTACTAATGCCTCAGAGTTAATGATTGAGATTGTAAGTGCCATTTAATGAGAATAAGGGGTGGACTAATCTAGAGAACTTGAAGTTGTTCTGGCTTGTGAATCCCTGCACTTCTGCTGTGCAGCTAGAGGAATCTAACAACAAAACAACAACAACAAAAACAAAACAAAACAAAACTAATAAGCATCAAACTCTGCAATAGTGGGCAACTCAGTTAAAATTTCTCTAACAGCAGCAGATACTAAGGTCAGAGACCACTATCTGCCCATAGCCTGTACCATGGACTCCTCGTTCAAAGAAACTCCTCCTACATTTCCACAGCTGTCTGTCCTCCAAAGCTGTAGGATTATGCATATTATCTCTTTTGCCAATTCCATTTGAACGCTAGAAGGGAGCTGGGAGGACGGTGAGAGAACAGTAGCAGCAGCAGCACCAAGAAAGGAAAAGTAAGTTTATACCTAAGGTTGTGGTGAATAGCTAATGTGAGAGAAACAGCTCAAGTGGAGCTGAAATTCTCAGATTTGCTGTGCTTATACCTGTTACATCCCTGTTCTTCTGAATTCCTCAAAACACCTGTTAGAAGGAGTTTGAAGATGTCTAAGCAGCAATTCTCCTTTTCAAAGTCATGGATGAAACAGCAGGCACTTGGGTCCTTACAAGCCCTAGGCCTTAAGTACTATTGGATGGCTCTACTGCGCTAAAAATGTTGTGGAAGTCAAGCTTTGCTCAGCTAGAGCATTCCTGGCCAGTGAAGCTGCATGGTTTCTTGAAATCTTTTAATAGCTATCCCAAAGAACAGACTACTATCAAGTGGCGTCAGGACAGGATATATGAGGGAAGGGGATGGTTTCAATATATGTGGCCATAGTTACCTGTGCATGTAAGATCCTGTAAATGCTAATAGAGGAAAAATGAACATGTTATGGTTGAGAGCTGTCTCAGGCACCTGGAAATTACAGATCATAGAGTCCCGAGTTCCCTTATTACTGTCAGTGAGAGCCACAGTGACAGGCAAACTTTTTAAAAAATGTTCTTTAGAGACAAATGAAGACACATTTTCCTCTTTCCCCTGCTTCCCTTTCTTATTTTGTCAATTGCTTTTTATTACTTATGGTGGGGTGGTGGTGAAATCTGTTAATGTTACTCATTTGCTTTAAATTTATCAGCCCACAGGAATGTCATTTGGGTGTTGAGTGTTTGGGGGGAAAGGGCAGGAGTGGGGTTGGAGGCCACCTCACCCATTGGGGTACCTAATGGTGGCAAAGATGGCTGGATGCATTTAGGATAAATGGGATGTCCTGTAGGAATATCTGATTGCTATTTAAAACTAAATAAAGAAAAATGGTTAAGTGCCAGCATGAGGAAATGGTTACATACCAAAATGAAGAGTAACTATGAGGAAATTTCTGTTTATTCTTCCAGCACTACTCAAACATGGTACAAAGAGTGGCAATTATTGGAGCTGGAGTGAGTGGACTGGCCTCCATCAAGTCCTGCCTGGATGAGGGGTTGGAGCCCACCTGCTTTGAGAAAAGTGATAACATCGGGGGACTGTGGCAGTTCACAGTGAGTGTGAAATTCAGAAGCAAATATCTTACCTAATGAATATTACTGGCTCTTATAACTATTGCCTGTGTATACTGTATTTTCCCTGTAACTGCAGCATACAATCTCACTCTCTTTAGCTGGAAGAATCTAAGGGTGTTCCCAGTTTAAAGCTTATATTGCACTACGGCTATGCCTCATTCAGGTGGTTCAGAATACAGTCATTATTTTCCACTTGTTGTCCTGCCATATTTTTCCACTTCTTTCATGTTTTTTTCTTAGTAAACAGGTGCCTTTTAATTCACAGTGCTAGAATCACCTCTGTCTAGAAGCACTTTAAGTTTCTGTAATTTGGTACTGAGTCTGTTCTCAGATTTACATTCCCATTGGTTGATATTTTAATATGCCAAAAATGTACATAGCAAATGTCTAGTTGACAAAATACGGCAAACAATATATACAATTTATAAAACATAAGCATGGCTCCTAACCCATTTGTTGGGAATATGCATGTGGTTTGCAAACATTGTAGTGGTGAATGAGAGCCTCACAGACAACACTTTATAGTGCTACCTGTTTTTTTCCACCATATTATAAATTGTTCTATCATCTAAGGTGGTGTTACCTATTTTTGTCTGACAACTCCTGGAGGATATGGAAAAAAAGAGCATGGACAGAGTTCCCACTCCTGTCCTCTGAAGATGCCAGCCACAGAGACTGGCAAAACGTCAGGAAGAACAACCTTCAGAACACAGCCAAAGAGCCCAAAAAACCCGAAACAACCATCGCATCCCGGCCGTGAAAGCCTTCGCGAATACATTAAAAGTACTTTGCTGGCAGAACTACTGTATTTCCATCAGTGAAACTGGGAGAAAGGGAACCTCTGTTCCTCCCGCTGAACTTCAAAACCTTCACGGGAGGGTTGGAACCCCATCCCCGAGCAGGTTGTCAGGTTGCCAGCATGGGAATGAAAGTCCTCTTGTGCTAGCAAGCTTCTACAATGATGACACTGAATTTAACCCATCAATCAGGAAACAAAAAAACAAGAAGAACCTGTCTTGCTAAGAAATGATCAAGGCTAATATCACCACTGGTAGAAGCATTCCTCCTGCCTGAGCTGGGAAGAGAAACATTGCCCATGCCTTATTGCCACAACCTTCTCATCACCACCAGGCAGTAGTACTCATGGGGAGAGGATAGGAGGAGCAGGCGGTAAATAGCAGCCAATGGCCACTCTGGCCCTATACTTGCCCAATCATGTTGAGCGGCTTTGTGGTGCTGTTAGAAGAATGGGGGATTCAAAAGTCAAGTATACCCTGACTTTTGCATCTCCAGGAAATTCTAATGTTCAGGGCCCACCCTAAAATCAAAGTGAGCTGAACAAGAGTACTATCACTCAGTTTTGTAGAATCATAGAATCGTTGAGTTGGAAGGGGCCTAAAAGGCCATTGAGTCCAACTCCCTGCTCAAGGCAGGAATCCAAAGCAAATTTTCCCTTGAATGCCTCCAGAGTTGGAGCGCTCACCACCTCCAGAGGTAATTGATTCCATTGTTGTACTGCTAGGGTAAAGTATCATTTCTATTGCAACTAGCTCCAAATTACTCAAACAAGGGTGCCAAGCTCTATGTGGTATTGAAAAACATTTTGAAAGGAGCATTGCCATTTATTTCCTCATGAGGCTCAGTGTCGGTTTTTGCTGTTGCTAAGGCTGTTGAATGCAGTACTTCAGAAGACACATTCTTGCTAAAGGGGGATCCCTGCCCTGAAATGATTGATGGCTACAGTCATTACACTAATTTCACAGGGCATCCAGACATACCACCTTTGCAACTGTGCGGGCATTATGCCCTGGCAGGCTGCATTGTGCAAGTGATCAGTAGCACTCCTGTTGTGGGCCACACCTGCAGAAGTCCTTTGTGAATATCACTTCTAACCTGGCACAGTTTTTCCCTACCACTTATATAACATTGAGTTAGGCATGTGGAATTGCACAATAAGATTTCAATTAATGACTCAAAATAAATTTGGACAACTGATTATAAATCAACAAGCAAATCTGGATATTCTGCAATTCCTGCATATGATCCAACATTTTTTTAAAAATTAGTATAAAAACATCTGTGATTCTGTGTATAGAACATCAAGTTTGAGATACGCGAGCAATGTGACTCTATTGGAGCAAAGCACTGGGTACATTTCAAAATCAAGTACTATTTTGAAATTCCAGAATTCTTGTGGAGTTTCTAGAAGATGCATGTGCATGTATACAGGACTCCTGCTTCTGTGCTCCCAGGTTCAGGAAGACCTGGGTGGGAGGAGAAGAAGAAATGGAGAGAACATGTAAAAATATACCATCATGTCTGCCCACTGGCCACGATGGCAAGTGGACTCCGAGAGCTGGATTGCCAAGAAGTAACCTTTCTGAACTCTGATAACAACAAATTTGGCCTAGCATGGAAATGTCATCATCATGAATCATATGTTAGCCAAAAGTGGTGAGCTATGGCTGGCCCAAGGCTATGACTAAGGAAAAGAGGGAAGGAGGGCCACTTTCTGTTGTCCCAGCAGCCATTCCACCAGGCTGTAAGAAGAAGAAGAAGAAGAAGAAAGCAGGGTGGCTGCTTTGGCCCAAATTAAATTGCAAAGGATACGTGTATTCTGCACTTAATTCAACTGTCCACCCTCCTGTAACAAGATGTCCTCAGAGATACGTATCTCAGCAAACAGACTTGCCAATCAAGCTCATGTTTCCCAGCTGGTTGTGTTAACTGTTGTGTTAAATCTATGACCTGAAGATTGGTTTTGTTTTCCTTTTCCTCTTTCCTTTTCTTCTTCTATGTTGTTTCTTTAGAAAAAGAAAATTTAGAAATAAAAAGCTGGATGTGAGGACTAGATTTTTTTTCCATATTAGCCTGCAAAGTGCTCTAAGAGCCTCTCCAGCTGGAATGCTTTAGACACACAGGCAGATGTCACTACAAGTAATTACTACCACTTTGCAACTTTCAGTCAACAGCATTTTTCTGTCAGATTCTTTTCACAAAGACAATCCATGACGCAAATAACCAGAGGTCTGCTGCAGATGCTCATTGTGATGATTCTCAGAAGGATCATAAAACTGACAAAAGCTTTCATTAAAATATAACAGTCTTTAAAGTGCCACTATGTTTTTGTCTTTTTGTCTTCTTAATTTTCTAATTTTTGTTTTGTTTTTGCCTGATATAAAATCTAGAGTTGCTTTAGAAGTTAACCAAAGGACTTCTGACAAGCATGGAGATGTCTTTCTTTTCCATTTTGTTAGCAGGAATACGTTGTTTTTTGGCTCCCTCATTTATATGACCCTTCTTAGCCAACATTTGCAGACTGTTGTGCAATCTAAGTGCAAGCATGTTATATAATATCATAGCATGATTAGAGAATATCCTACTTCAAACTGGCATTCATTTCAGAGCCCTAATCCATATAAGGAAAGAGAGGAAAACCTGTGTCAAAAATATTATAATTTTTTTCACCTTTATAAAATTGCCTTCTGCCCCTATCAGTGAAGCTCAGCACCAAACATCTCTTTTATATCTGAAGGTAAAATCTTAGCACAGAATTGTGATCATGGGTTCATGTCACTGCCATTGCATTTAGGAAGTAATCTCATGTTGGTATTAAAATAAGAACAGAATGTGGCTTTTCCATCCCATCCCACTTCCACATCTACATAGGGAAACATTATTAGGACAAAGCGGCAGCATTGCTGAGCTCCTACCCTTTCAATTCATAATTGGGGCCCAGGGTTCACAATCTACCACAGCTTGCCCCACCCCAAACATCAAGCCTTTATAAGTACTGAAATCAAAAGCTCACAAAAGGGCCACATTTGTTTCCCAAGCATTCAATTCGCACAAAGCTTGGAGGATATTTGCAAAGACCTCTCAGCCAGCCACCTCTCTTTCTCTCACTTCATGAAGCCAAGAGGATTACCTAGAACAAGGGCACCCAAGGCAAGACAGTTCCCGAAGCCTCATCCGGAAGCTGCCACTGTTGACAGGACTTCCAAAAGAAAAGCCTTTCGGAAAGCTTTCTCCCCAGCAGCAGTGATGTAAACTGAACTGCTGGATAGCTCAGGGGTGCAGGGCTGGACTTGATGATCCATGCGGTCCCTTCCAGTTCGGCAGTACTTAGATGATGGCGGTTGCGACAAATGGTGTTAAATTACCACTAGAACATGGACCTCCTTTTCCCATTTCCCCAGATGAGTCCTCAGACCTTTGGGAGATTAGAGAAAGGGGTGACGGCGGCAGTTGTTGTAGGGTGAAGCCTTGCTTGGTTTGGCCCTGTTCATGCGTGCTTGAATAGGAGCTCTTCTTGATCCAATATGGGTCAATGAGATGCCTCTGCCATAGTTTTGCACCATTTCTCACCTGACTCAGAAGCTCTTCTTTAGAATATCAAGTTTCTGTAGCAGCCTCATGGGCAGCCCCATGTAAAGAGCATTACAGTAGTCTAATCTCAAGACTACCGGTTCACGGGTAGGGACACAGCTGGGCAATTCACCTTAGGTGGTAAAAGGTGGAACAGATGCTACCTAGGACTCCATTGATAGTGCTGGGTCCAGAAGTACACCCAGATTGCATACCTCATCCTTAACTGAGACAATAGCCCCCCCCCAAAGGGAGGCCCCCAAACCGCAGACACTAGGGGAACCCACCTGTAGGAACTCCATCTTGTCCAGGATCAGCCTCAGTCTATTTTCCCTCATCCACACCAGCATGGCATCCAGGCAGTGCTCAAGGGGAGGATGTCATCCACTGCAGGAGCATGGAAGGAGAGACAGAGCTGAGTGTCATCTGCATATTGGTGACACAAGCTCCAAAACTCCTGATGACCTCCCACAGGGGCCTCCTCATATAGTTATTAAACAGCAATGGGGAGATGATAAACCCTGTGGGACTCCACAATTAAGAGTTCCAGAAATAGACATCATCTCTCCAAGCTGAACTACCTGAGGGCCATCCTCGAGGGAGGACCGGAGCCACAACAAAGCTAGACCTCCGATCCCCAACCCAAAGAGCCTCTCCAGGAGGATACCATGGTTGATGGTATCGAAGGCTGCTGGGAGGTTGAGGAGGACCAACAGGGGCATCCCCCCCCCAGTCTTCCTCCAGAGGCCATCCTGCAGGGTAACCGATGCCATCTCCATACCATGATGTTGCCTGGACCTGGACTGGAATGGGTCAAGGGCATCAGTTTCCTTCAGGAGTGCCTGCAGTTTGTCCTGGTAATTCCCTAGACTGAAACTGGGAACTTTGGCATGTACAATGTATCACAGAAGTGAGTACACCCCCTCACATTTCATAAATATGTTAGTATCTCTTTTCATATCACAAAATTGAAGAAAGGACACTTGACTACAATGTAAAGCAGCGAGTATACGTACAGCTTGTAAATGTGCTGTCCCCTCAAAATAATGCAACACACAGCCATTAATGCCTAAACTGCTGTCAAGAAAAGTGATACACCCCTAAGTGACAATGTCCAAAGTGGGCACAAAGTGTCCCTATTTTGTGTGGCCACCATTCTTTTCCAGGACTGCCTTAACCCTCTTGCGCATATTCACCAGAGCTTCATAGGTTGCCACTGGATATAATTATGAAATGTGAGGGAGTGTACTCACTTCTGTGATATACTGTAAATCTGTGCTCTGTCATTTTGCATCTACTCCCTTTTCACAGACTAGACCAAGAAGCAGCAACAACAAAATGCTGATAGAGAAGTGGAGGTGAGAATTGGTTAGAAAACTGGAACAGCATTTCTTGCAGAGGACATTTTTAATTTATATTTTGTGTTCTTTTCCCTCTTAGGAATCTATAGAGGAAGGTAGAGCCAGCATTTACCACTCGGTGTTTACCAACTCTTGCAAAGAAATGATGTGCTTCTCAGACTTCCCTTTCCCTGAACACTTCCCAAACTATATGCACAACACCAAACTTCAGGAATATATCCAGATGTTTGCCAAGCACTTTGGTCTTTTAAAATATATACAGTTCAAGGTAAGAAAGTATAACTTTAGTGTCAGGAGGCTGAAGGCAAACACAGAATCATTATTATTTGCTAAGATAAAACTTGCTTCTGACAGGGTAAATCTTTGTTGTAGCAAGAGGAGAGATGTGCCCAGAACATTTTGAAAAAGCAAACACCTATTGCTAAAAGGCAGGGTGCAATAGGATAATATAATCTGCAAATGTGGCTTTTTTGAAGAGTTGGCAAGGCTGTAAAAACTGGAATGGACAGTGAATGAGGTTATATAAGAACATGTTAACTGTGTTGCATGTCCCTGCTTAGCAACAGCCATGCAAACACCATCGACTTCATAAGTATGTGAGAAATGGTCTCTACTGGAAACTGTGTTTCCATGCTTCAAACACCTTCATACAGAATAGTAGAAATGTCCGTTTTCTGCCTGGTACCTTTGATAAACATGTAGAGATATAACCAGCAGAGGAAGACCACATTGAGTCACCATGGCTGCAACTGATAGAGCCACTGTTCCGGTTGGTGTGCTCTTTTCTCCCCACTCCCATGCCCACTTTACCTTGCTGCTTTTGGCCATTTTATACTGTCCCTATTCCCTTATTATTTAAAAAGTGTCTGAAGAAGTGGACTTACTATAGCGGGAAGTAAAGGAATTACCTCATTCAAACACAACTGTGGCTGAAGAGCAGAGAAGTAAGGAGCATATCAGGGTGAAGCCTCATTGTCTCATTTCAGGGTTCGTCCATCTCTCTTGGATCATAGATTACATGAGCAATCTACAATGAAATCAACACAAGTATACTTGATTTAAAAAGAACTCTTAACACATGCAATATATAATAATCTTAGTGAATTTAAGGTGAGAAAGATGCACACCTGATTTCACTGCTTTAATGGGAATGATCTCCCTTAAAGTGACCCATCCATTTGTCGGGGTCCTGCCAAAAGTACTTTAGGACCAAAATAGTTCAGCTTGAAAACTGATTGGAGTCAGACTATGTCATTTCCCATGTGTTGTGTGATCCCCAGGCAATTGCTGGCACTTGGATTGTGCCACAAGAGGTTCAAAATATGAGCTATATGCAAGTGTGATCATACTTTTAGATTATTTTAGTATTACGTATATTAAACACATTAAACTTTATTACATTTTACATTCCCTACCTTCGTGCTTCCCCCTTCCCCAAATTAATACATCTCCAAGAACTGTTTTTACACCACATCCTCTGTGGTGATTATAATTTGCCCACGCCAACAGAAATCTTTGACAATTAAACGATGGAAGCAGTTGGCTGGTCAGTGACAGTACCTGCAGAAATCTTTGCACTTAGAGTTTTAGCATGCTGCTGCCCTGGACATCAGTGTGCTGGCCACAAAAATGCCTCACCAAAAGGTGGCTTTTTTCAGTTATTAAATTTTTAGAAGGAAGGAAGGAAGGAAGGAAGGAAGGAAGGAAATAATAATTAGCTAGACAAGTGCATTAATTCAAACTCTCTCATTTTCTGATGAGTTGGTTTCAGTAGGATGGACAGCAGTTATATCTTCTGGCCACTGAATGATGTATATTTATGCTTCCAGCCTTCAAGTATAAATCTTACTGCTGCAGTGATAACTCGTGGGATCCAATGGTGATGATGATCAGTTAAGTTCCAGGGGACAGGAATGTAGTTTAAAAGTATATAAATGTGCAAAATGTTGAGGATTTAAATTAATGCATTGTGATGCCTCTTGCAAAAAAGGGACTATAACTTACATAATGGGCTGCAAGGAAGTATTATCTGCATTGGATTGCTAACAATTGGTTGAAGTTGCCAGTTTTTCTTTCTTGCATGAATGAAATATCAATTTTTGCTGAACACTGTGTATTTTTTAATATCTTAACCAAGTTTCTAACTAATACCAGCTAGAAATTTACTGTTCTTTCCATCCCAGCTAGAAATTCCACTGTTTTTGCCCTTCTGTGCTGTTTCCACTCAAAACTGTTGCTTTGTCCAAGCAAATGCATAACCTGCAAAGTACTAGTCTTCCCTGAGCTTTTTGTGTAGCCTCACTGGCCTTTTTTTTTTTTTTTTTTTTTGGTGCCTTCCACCTTTTTTTCTTGTTGGAATTGTTTGTAGTTGCGCTTTTAGAATTTTCTTTTTTTGGAAACTCCTACCCTTCTTGGACTGCCATAGGACCTCATTTATCCTTGTTCTGAAATCCAACATATACATGTGTAGCTTGGGTTTCCTTTGAAATTAAGCATTCTAGTAGAACGTGGTCACTCTCGCCCAGAGTTAACATGACTGCAGCAGATGGGGTGAAGGGGGGCTACGATTTCTTTCTTTGAACACAACTTCTTACTTATGATCCCTGCACTAAAATGGCCTTTGCATCGAGAGGAAACACCCACTGGTATTTTCTCCCAAAGAAATACCAGCTTTAGAAGAGGATTTTCCTTATGGCATCAACAGTGGAGGAAAGAGCTACATTCACTCCATATTTAGCTCAATAATTATCACACACTGGTTCTTGGCATCTTAAATGGCTTTCAAAGGCAAATTTAACAATGTCATCACATGTTATTTGACCTTGGAACCAAACCTTTGCAAGTGAATTGGCATTCAGGAGACATTTGCAGCCATTAAAGAAACAGTAAGGATTTGCAATCTCAAATGAGAAAAGAAGGAGTAAGCCCAGTTAAACGCGCGTTGAATTTTCTTCTCCATTAACTTTTGTAGGATGGTGTTGCATAGTTTCTGTGTCAAATCCAAGACTTTGAGGAAACACTAATGATGCATTCATTCATGTTAATTAGCTGCCAAATGTACAATAACCATAATTATATCTGTTTGAACAATTCTGATATTTTCTTGAATATTTCTTCAAAGACTCTTGTGACCAATGTTAGGAAACACCCAGATTTCCCTGTCACAGGGCAATGGGAGATCATAACTGAGAAGGATGGCAAAAAGGAATCAGCTGTATTTGATGCTGTTATGATTTGCTCTGGACATCATGTCTATCCAAATATTCCACGTGACAGCTTCCCTGGTAAGTGAAAGAAATGGCTATAAAATTGTGACATCCACTTTATGGGTTTCATATGCTTATTATAAGAGAACTCTGCACATAAGCAGCACACTTTTACTGGACAAAATTACAGTTCAGTTTGTATTACCTTGTCTGGGGGCATAAAGGTGGGAAAAAAAGAGAAAAGAAATATGAGGTATTAGGTGTGAAAATTCATTTATTGTGCCAGTTTTTCCTTTAACAACTGTGACTAGCCAGAGAGGAGAAACAACATGGAGATGATGGAACATTTGGAGAGGTTTTAAGCATCTTTCTCCCTATGCCATTCTCCCACTTTAAATCCCCCTAAAAATTGCTGTTCACCTCAGAAAATATGATTCCTTTAGTACAAAGAACATTCTTATCTCCACCACCATAAACATAGGTGCGGAGCTACCAGTGTTTGTTTGCCTCATAAAAAACATCACTTGCTTTTCTGAGCAATGACTGTGATTCAAATTAGGCTAACAATAGGAGCAGGATAAATAACGATATATCAGAATGGCATCAGTTGGAGAAATCACAGGAGTGGTGTACTCTAATTATATCCAGTTCAGTTTACAGAGTTAGTGGTCTGGACTGCAAATACTGTAATTGTCTTTTTGGTATTTGTGAAATCAGCAACCAAAGACCTGATATTCAAATTTCTCAGTGCATTAACACCTAGGAGTTAAAATTATATATTTCCTCTCTTAAGCGATATTCGTTTTCCACTTTCCCTTACAGGGCTAGAAAAGTTTAAGGGTAGCATCCTCCACAGCCGGGAATACAAAGGACCTGAAAAGTTCAAGGGGAAGAAAGTTTTGGTGATTGGCCTTGGCAACTCTGGCTGTGACATTGCAGTGGAGCTCAGCAACATAGCCTCACAGGTATGTTTTAACACACGGCTCGGAATGTGTCATTCCATGGAATAGTTAGTACTAGCCAGGCAAAGTGAAGCATTTTTGGCTCTACTGATTTCAGTGGGAAGCCTCTCCTCTTAGGGCTCACTCAATTTAATTTTAAAGCACTTACTTTAGGCTGGATAACTTGTATTGCAATGAATACTGAGAGTTAGAACAGCGCTCAAGTGTGAGTGCCTCCTGCAACAAACTGCCACAGTGCAACAAAGTGCAGGGCAAGAAGGCACAGCGAGTTTAGCAGCTATGAGTTCAGCAGCAGGGTGATGAAGCCAGGGCCCCAGAAACTGCCTGTCACTTCCCTTGAGAAGAGGTTTGGCAAGCTGTAAACAAGTATCAGCATGTAGTCAGACAGGCAGCAGTGGGTTGGGAGCTATCCCGTGTTTTGCACCAAGTGTCATATGTATGACTATATGCCTTTTGGGCAAAAGTCATGGGTGTGTCCTCATTGCAAGGACCTCCAAGAACTCAGGGAATAGGTTCACTCCCTTGAGGTCTTGGTTGTGGACCAGGAGAAACAGAGACAGGGAGAGAGGGATGACGGTGAGACTTCCAGGGACCTTCAGGCATTGTCCCACCTGCAGACAAGCAGCTCCTCAGCTGCTGGGATTGGAAGTCTCCGGGCTGGAGGACGCCAATCTGGACAAGAGGGAAACCATTCCCTAGAGGGGACCCATGCAGGTGATGGACCCATATCCAGTTGCACTTAGGATACTCCTCATGGGGGGGAGGGGGATTCTGGTAGTGGGCAATTTGATTGTTGGGAACATAGCGTGAGAGGGTCTGTGACGGTTGTGAGGACCACATGGTGACTTTCCTGCCTGGTTCAAAGATTGCAAACATCACGTCTTGTCTGGATAGGTTAGTAGCAATTGCAGGGGACAGGGTAGCAGTGGTGGTGCATGTTGGCACCCACAATGTGGGAAATGTAGCCACCAGGTCCTGGAGGCCAAATTTAGGTTGTTAGGGAGGTAGCTCAAAGCCAGGACCTCGAAGGTAGCTTTCTCGGAAGTGCTACCTGTTCCACATGCAGGTCCAGCTAAGCAGAGGAGGTCTCAACATGTGGATGAGACAGTGGGATCAGGGGAAGGGTTTAAATTCATTAGGCACTGGGGAACGTTTTGGGACAAGCCGGGCCTGTACAAGAGGGACAGACTTCACTTGAACAAATACAGAACCAGACTGCTGGTGCGTGACATTAAAAAGGTGGCAGAGCAGCTTTTAAACTGAATCCCTGGGGAAAGCCAACAGGAGCCAAGTGGAGTCCAGTTCAAGAGTCTTCATCCCTGTGGAATGAGGGTGGAGAGGGTAGAGAACCACAACGTGATGACAGTGCAGGAATTAGGACTGGGAGTGAGATGGGACCTGATAGTTGGTCCACTGGAATGAGAGGCTGTGGGGAAAAAAAGAAGCAAACAAGCAGCCTTTCTTGGGGAACCCCTTATGCAGGTGCTTTTATGCAAGTACCTGAAGCATCCGAGCAAAGATGGGACAGCTGGAACATTTGGTGGCTAGAGATAACAATGATATAGTGGCCATAACGGAAACCTGGTGGAATTGGGAGAACCAGTGGGATACCAAAATCCCAGGCTATAAACTCTATAGGAAAGATAGGGAGGGTCGTGTTAGAGATGGGGTGGCTATCTATGTCAAAGAAGGGAGAAGGACAGCGGGCCTGACTCCATCATAGAATCACTGTGGGTTAAACTACCAGGCCCAAGGAGCGGTGTGATAGTGGGGGGTTTGCTATTGTGCTCCAGATCAAAAACTTGAAGGGGGGCCTTGAAATGGGGAGACAAATCAGGGAGGTGTCCAAGAGGGACAGGATTGCAATCATGGGGGACTTAAGTTATCCTCACATTGACTGGGTCAATGCGTGATCGGGTCAAGAAATTTCTTGACTTGCTAAATTACTGTGCTTTGTAACAACTTGCCATGGAGCCCACCAGAGAACAGGTGACTCTGGATTTAATATTACATGTTACTCAGGACCTGGTTAGGGATGTGAATGTCACTGAGCCACTACGGAATGCAGTCTCTTGCATGTTGGGGGCAAAGTGTTAAGCAAATCTGACACAGAATCCCTTGATTTCCAAAGGGCAGACTTCCTTCAGATGAGGAAACTAGCTAGAAAGAAGTTGAAAGGGAAGGTAAAAAGAAGCCAATCTCTCCAGAGTGCATGGAGTCTGTTTAAAATAATGGTGGTAGAGGCCCAGTGAAAGTGTATACCACGAAGAATGGAGGGCTCAACTAAGTCCAAGTGGGTGCTGGCATGGTTAGCGAGCAGAGGTAGAGAGGCTTTAAAGGGCAAGGAGGGGTCCTTCCATAAATGGAAATCCTTCCCAAATGAGGAAAATAAAAAGGAACACAAACTCTGGCAAAAGAATAGTACGAAGATGATACGGAAGACAAAGAAAGACTTTGAGAAATGTATGGCCAGCAATATAAAGGGGAATAATAAACACTTTAAATATGTTAGAAGCAGGAAACCTGCCAGAGAAGTGGTTGGCCCTCTGGATGGTGAGGGAAGGAAAGGGCTAGTAAAAGGGGACTTGGAGATTGTAGAGAAATTAAATGAGTTCTTTGCATCTGTCTTCAGGACAGAAGACCTTGGACAGATTCCGCTGCCTGAATGGCCCCTCCTGACTAACGAATTATGTCAGATAGAGGTTAAAAGAGAGGATGTTTTAGACCTAATTGATAAATTGAAGATCAATAAATCACTAGGCCCAGATAGCATCCACTTAAGGAACTGAGGAATGAAGTTGCTGATCTCTTGACTAAAATATACAACTTGTCCCTTAAAATGGCCACAGTGCCAGAGGACTGGAGGATAGCACATGCCAATCTTTAGAAAGGGAAGAAGGAGGGACTCAGGAAACTACAAACCGATTAGCCTAACATCTGTTCCAGGGAAGATGATGGAGAGACTCATCCAAGATAAAATCTTAAAACACAGAAGAACAAGCCTTGCTGGGGGAAAATCGGTTCTGTAAGACTAAGTCTTGCCTCACAAACCTTTTAAAATTCTTTGGAAAGGTCAACAGGCATGTGAATGCAGGTGAACCAGTGGGTGTTGTCTGTCTGGATTTTCAGAAGGCGCTTGATGCAGTCTGACACCAAAGGCTGCAGAGAAAATTGCACAGTCAGGGAATAAGAGGGCAGGTCCTCTTATGGGCTGAGAGCTGGTTGAGAACCAGGAAACAGAGAGTAGGTGTCAATGGGTTTCACAATGGAAAGAGGTGAAAAGCGGCGTGCCCCAAGGATCTGTCCTGAGACGCAGTGCTTTTCAACCTGTTCATAAATGACCTGGAGACAGGGATAAGCAGTGAGGTGGCCAAGTTTGCAGATGACACAAAACTTTTATGGGTGGTGAAGACTAGAAGGGTTTGTGAAGCGCTCAGAAAGATCTCTCCAAACTGGGAGAATGAGCAGCAAAATAGCAAATGTGTTTCAATATAAGAAAATGTAAAGTAATGCACACTGGGGCAAAAAAAAAGAAATCAAAACTTTATTTATCAACTGATGGGTTCTGAGCTGTCTGTGACACCGCAGGGAAGAGATCTTGGTGTGCTGGTGGACAGTGCAATGAAAGTGTCAGTCCAGTGTGCGGCCACAGTGAAGAAGGTCAATTTCATGCTAGGTATCATTAATTGATTGAAAATAAAACAGCCATCATTCTAATGCCATTGTACAAAATGCTGGTAAGGCCGCACCTGGAGTATTGCATACAGTTCTGGTCGCTGCACCTTAAAAAAGACATAGTGGAACTAGAAAAGGTGCAGAAGAGAGTGACTAAAATAATGACTGGGCTGGGGCAGCTTCCTTATGAGGAAAGGCTACAGTGTTTGGGACTCTTTAGACTAGAGAAAAGGCTCCTGAGGGTGGACATGATTGAGATGTGTAAAGTTATGTAGGGGGTGGATAAAGTGGATAGAGGAAAGCTCTTTACCCTCTCATGCAATACCAGAACCAGGGGACACCCACTCCAATTGAGTGTCGGGAAAGTGAGAACAGATAAAAGAAAACATTTATTTACCCAGTGTGTTATTAGTCTGTGGAACTCCTTGCCACAGGATGTGGTGATGGCCTCTGGCCTAGATGGCGTTAAAAGAGGATTGGACAGATTCCTGAAGGAAAAGTCCCATCACAGGTTACAAGCCATGATGGAGATGTTTAATCTCTAGGCTTAAAAGGAAGGTCCCTCAAAATGTCAGATGCAGGGGAGGGGTATCAGGAGACAGGGATCTAGTTGTCACGTGTCCTCCCAGTGGCATCTGGTGGGGCCACTGTGAGATACTGGGAGCTGGACTAGATGGGCCCTTGGCCTGATCCATCAGGGCTCTTCTTATGTTCTTATGTAGTGTAGTGTATAGGGTCATAGCACAGTCAGACCACACACCTTGCATGCAGAAGTTCCCAAATTCAACTCCCATCATGTCCAGTTAAAGCAAGGGGGAAGAAACTAGCTTGCAGGCTCAGACAAGCCCTTAGATGTACCCCATCCAACACTTGGTGGCTGCCACAGAGCTCCTCCTGTTTTTTGAGGACTGCCACTCCCAGCTGTCTCTGATTATGATTGTCAGTGATCCCTTTCCTTTCTGTGCTCTCAGCCAAGGCATGCAGGAACAGGCCAAGGCTCAGGCTCAGCACGTTGCTCCCTTATGGGACTTCCCCTATAAGAGCAAGCGGATCGTTGTTTCAGCTGGAATTGCAGATCCTGGCTAATTGCCACACTATAGGCGCCAGGTCAAGTTGCTTCACTCCTCCTTCCCTTCCTATACAAGGCTATTCCACCTTGGTGGCCAAAAGAACTGTGGCCACTGCTAGCCAAACTCCATCCCCACTGCACCATCAAATGGAAGGGTAGAGCTATCCATGTGCATGACCTTGCATTGCTCATGTCTCAGTCTTTCCTCAGAGGTGCTGATGAGCCCCATCATCCAACCTGCTGCAGAGGATCTGTTCCCCACCTCTGGGCTGAAGGATCTGAAATAGCATTGTAGGGAACTATGCCAGAAACTGGAAAAAGGTTAGCAGTTTAGGTAACTCGAAGTAAGCCCAAAGTCTAATTCAGTTACATTTAAGATGAAACAATGAAGTTGTTGCTGAATTGCTACTTTGGTTGAAGCTAGGACATCTGGGTTGATACAGATTTCTTTACACTGCACTCTGGCATTTAAATTGCTGCCAAAGTTTACACAGAAATGTTTAGTTTATCCAGAAGTTGTGTTTCAAGCGTGTGAACACTTGAAATACAACTTTTGGATGTAGATCCTGACTGGGCTAATCCTTGGCATGATAAACAAAAAAGTCTTTAAAAAAATTATCTGCAGTACAAAATGATGGGCATTTTGAAATTATACTTTCAGAAAATTTGTGCATTTCTGTAAATTGCATTGCAAAATGCAATAATTGTTGCCTGGGTGCATGAACTCATACAATTTAGTAGCACTGAAAGGAGAGGTATAAATCAAATGAATGGATAGAAAGAAAATACAAACCCATGTGATATTAATTGACATACTGCTGCTAAAAGTCTGGGCTCATTTGATCATCCTAGCTAATGCCAATATTTTTCAAGAATTTATGTAACTATTAAATATATTAAAAATATAAAGGTTATAAGAAACATAATTAGTGTAGGTCAGTGGGTGCACTGGTCTGCCTGACTCTAACATGCCCCTTGAGTCATATATAATTTAAAAAATTAAAGATGAATTTGGAGGTCCCTAGTGAAGTATTATTGTGTAACCTGGTGTGCTCCAGTTGCAATTATCTACAACTCCCATCATTCCCTAGGCAGTATGGCTGCTGGGTCAGAAAGTCTGACACTTGGACATCTTCCTAAGAGCATTGTAAACCTTTACAGACATCTAGGAAAAGTCAGAAGCCTGTGTTTGTCATAGCTGGCATTTAGCCCTGAAAGAATTAATTCCAGTATGAAACCATTCCTGATCATATTGACATTTATATGTTGTATTTTTTCCCCCACTGAGATGCATTGAATAGGTTTCAATGCATTTCAATTGGGGAACCGCGTTTTGCTTAGCGATGTTTCCTATAGCGATTTTCGCTTAAGGACGGCAATTCATTCCTATTGGAACAGATTATCCGGTTTTCAATGCATTTCAATGGGAAACTGCATTTCGCTTGGTGATGAAATCGCTTAGCAGCGATTTTTTTGGAACGAATTAACATAGCTAAGCGAGGCACCACTGTATTTTGCAGGCCAAACTACACAAGATGGTCAGGCCCACTCTGAGGGGCATGGTTCCCCTGATGGTTGAAATACATCAAGTTTTCCCAGCATGATGTTTCCTCAATTCAGCATTTTGCATATTGACTTGCTTCATATTGTTATTGGCCATTGTGGGATAAATATAAGCTTCCTTTACATGCTGATAGCTTATTGTGAAGCTCTAAGAAATTCTGTTCCTGGGGGAATAATGTGCTGTCAACCTCAGTCATAAACAGTCCATCTTATTTGTATGAACCTCAATAGCTATTTCCGGGGGGGGGGGATTGTGTTAGAGTGTTGCAGCATAAACAGCAGAATCTTGCTATACTTTGGAGATCAGCCAGTGTTATTGGGGCATGAGCTTTCAAACACACTATAGGAACAATACAGTTCTATGCAAAGTTTACCAGTTACTGTACTAAAAATAGCTTGTAAGTTTTAAAGCTATTCCCCAAGGTCCTTCTTCCTTAACATATTTGCTCTTTATAGTGTTGGAAAATGCCCGAGTACTATAATATCAGAGCACCGAAACAGAATAGCCTGTACACATCATTTCACAACCACTGGGCAGGATTTACAAGGCTGCTACTGCTGGATAGGACCCACTGAACTGTGTGAATGTGAAGGTGTGCTGGAATTAACATTTGGTAATATTGTTTCCTGTCTTTGCCCTCTACGTGTGTGTTTTTTTTTTAAAGGTTTATCTCAGCTCTAGAAGTGGCTCCTGGGTCATGAGTCGTGTTTGGGAGAAAGGCTATCCCTGGGACATGTTGGTCATAACTCGCTTTGAAACTTTCCTCAGAAACGCCCTCCCACAAGCCATCTCTGACTGGCTGTATGTGAAGCAAATGAACAGATGGTTCAAACATGAAAACTATGGTTTGATGCCTTTGAACAGGTAACATTCCAAACAAAACAGGTTGTGGTGATATGCTTTTAGACCGCAGCCCTTTTGTGGGATCTATACCGCTCACCAAAATTTTATTTATTCATTTATTTAGAAGATTTAGACCACAGAGAGCAAGTGACCAGAGTGAGCAAACAGGGGTTTGACAGGGAAGGTGTGGTGGGGAAAGGTCTATTGAATGATAGATAAGGTCCCAGGAGAGCCTAACAAGTAAAGGAGTCCATGATAGGTGGGAGTTTCTAAAAAAGGAAATAAGACTATATGTGAGAAGGATCTTGGAATTGTTGTGGACCACAAACTGAATATGAGCCCAAAGTATGATGCAGCTACACAAAAAACCTAAATACTGTACTATTTAAGACTGCATTAGACTGTATAGTCTCCAAATCCCATGAAATATTGGTTCCCCTTTATTTTCCACTGGTTAGGTCTCATCCTGAGTACTATGTCAAGTTTTGGACACTGTACTTTGAATGATGCTGACAAACTGGAACAAGTTCGGAGGCATGCAAAAAGAATGACCAGGGGACTGAAAACCAAGCCCTATAAGAGAAGTGAAAGGACTGAGCATGTTTATCCTTGAGAAAAGAAGACAGAAGGGGAGATAGGATAGGCTCTTCAAATACTTGAATAATTTTCATGCAGAGGAGGGGCAGAATCTGTTCTCAGTCATTCCAGAGAGCAGGACATGTAATAAGGAGCTCAAGCTACAGGAATCCAGATTCTTGTTGAATATCAAGAAAAATCCTTGTTAACTGTTAGGGCAGTACAGCAATGGAACCAGTTACTTCAGGAGGTGGTGAGTGCTCCAACACTTGGAGGCATTGAAGAGAAAATTGGACAACCATCTGTCAGATCTGCTTTGATCTGGGTTTCTGCACTGAGCAGGGAGTTGGACTCAATAGCCTTATAGGCCCTTCTGACTCCACTATTCTATTATTTATATGTTGTCCTTGAACCAAATGATCCCCCAGGTATTTTGCAGTAGCTTTTAATCATGGATAGTTAACCTGGAGGAGAGCCATAATAATAAATGCATATCCGTACACAAACCCTGCACTCATATTTAGTCTCATTTATTTAAAATATTGTAACTTCATCTTTCTCTTTAAAAAGGATCCAATGCTGCTAACATTATCGAAAGACAGTATTTAATTAATTAGTTAATTAATTAAATTAATACCCCGTCCATCTAGACACATGTCTACTCTGGGCAGCTAACAATAAAAATGGAATGAAAACAGTATAAATGAAATAAAAAGCAACAATAATAATATAGTTCAAGATGGGGGAAAATAAAAAATTATCAATTGATGACAGGAGAGAAAGCCTGCCTAAAGAGCCAGGTTTTAAGCTGGCACTTAAAAACACCCAGCAAGGGAGCCAGACAGATATCTGAGGGGAGACTGTTCCAAAGGCAAGGGGCCACTGCTGAGAAGGCCTGGTTTCTTGTTCTTTCTTTCTGGGCCTCCCTCGGCTTTAGGCTCCTCAACCGCCCTTCCTGGGTAGAATGAGTGATTTGGGTAGATCTAGGTGGGAGGAGGCATTCCACTAGATATCGAGGTCCTAAACCGTTTATGTTGTCATTAACACTTTGAAATTAATGTGGAAACGAACAGGCAGCCAATGCAAGGCAGCCAGAGGGGGGGAAATATGCTGATATTTTCTTGTCCCACTAAGAAGTCTGGCTGCCGCATTCTGTACCATTTGAAGCTTCCACATCAATCTCAAAGGTAGCTCCACGTAGAGTGCATTGCAGTAGTCTAATCTCGAGATTAAAAGTGGTGAGTGCCCCAACATCAAGATAGGGACTCAGCTGGGCAATCCGCCACAGATGGAAATAGGCGAAGTGGACCACTGACGCCACCTGGGTTTCCATGGTGAATGCCAGATCCAGATGGGCCCCCAAGCTGCGAACCTCACTCTTCGCAGTGAGAGTCAGTCCCCCAAAATACAGGGAGTTTCCTAAACCACCAATGGAGGGGCGCCCACCCTTAGTACCTACGTCTTGTCCTGGTTCAGCCTCAGTCCATTTTCCTGCATCCATTACAGTACAGCCTCCAGGCAGTGCTGAAGGGATGGAACGGCATCCACTGTTGTTGGAGAAAAGGAGATGTAGAGCTGGGTGTCATCTGTGCACTGATGGCACGAAGCCCCACACCCCCTGATGATCCCACCCAGTGGCCTCATATAGATATTAAACAGCATTGGGGAGATAATCGAGCCCTGCGGAACCTCATAATTGAGGCTCCATGGGGCCGAAACACTCTCCCCAAGCTGTACTCTCCAAGTAATAAATCCCCAAGTATTAAAAGTTAAAAACAATAAGTATACAAATATTAAAAAGGAACAAACAAATACCACTCTGAGAAATGGTAAACACAAACGATACTAAAAACACGGTCAAAGCAGTAATATATAACAATTCATCTAAAAATCCCACTCAAGCAGCCAGTCACTGAGGGAAAGCTTGCCTGAAGAGAACAACCCAGTAACCTTGAATTTCTTGAACAATTATTTTTCTTATGTAAAGTATTTAAACTATCTCAAGTATCGGGGAAATTGAAAAACAAATATCTAAGTAGCATGGGTAACACACCCATGAACTTCTTTAAATGCTCTTTTGAGATGAATTTGACATGTACTAATATATGCTCTTCCCTTTATATAAATATTGAGATTAGATTTGAATGGTCAATGAAGCAGAAATATATTTTTAACTTCCTAGAAGCTACATTTGCCAAATTCCAAAAGGCTAACAGAACTACATCAACACACTTTAGTCCCAGAAGAACAATTTTTCTGTCTTTTGTTTTTAATCAAAAGATTTGAGCTCAAATATCCACACAAAAGTCTTTAGTGGTTTTTAGGAATGTTATCTGCCTAGTTGGAGCCAACTCAAGAACAGTTCCCAAACAGAAAAGGATTATGATGCAAGGCCTCTTAAAGTCTCTTGCATAAGGCACAGCACAGATGTAGAAAGAGCATGGAGTCCATATGCAATCAGATCACTGCGCTTGAGCAGCAGCCAGCAGCCCACTCCCTGGACATGAGATACAACAAGGTTTGCTGCAGTCTTCTTCGCCATCACCCTAGCCTTGCCCTAGACTTACTAATTGGCAGGGAAACTAAGATGACTTACTAAGTGGCAGGAGGACTAAGAAAGTTTGTCCAGGATTTCTTTCTCTAACCTTTTTGTTTGAAGAAAAATGGCCATCTAGAATAAACTAATACTTAGCCTGAATTCCTAAATTCCTGTATTTGAAGAGCCTTGTGGTGCGGTGGTTAAACTGTAGCATTACAGTCAAAACCCTGCTCACAGTCAGCATTAGATCTCAGCAGATTCTAGCAGCTGGCTCAAGGTTCACTCAGCCTTCCATCCTTCCAAGGTCAATAAAATGAATACCCAGTTCGCTGGGGGTGGGGATGTGTAGCCTGTATAATTAAACTTTAATGACCCAGAGAGTGCTTTAAGTGCTATGTGGCACTATACAAGCAACACACTTTGCTTTTTTTAAAACTTGTTTCCCTCAACAGTAGATCCTACTGACCTCAATCAGACTTAGTTTAGAGTAGATGTAACTAGGATTGCACTACTAGTCAGGTACCTCATTCATGTGAGAAGGGATTACAATGAATAGCGCAACTAAAACATCCACCCAATGTGTTGCTGCTATTTAAAAAGGGCAAATACTGGAGTCACTATAAAAGGAATTGAAAATAAAACTGGCAATATCATGATGTCTGTATACAAAGGTGTGGTGCAGCAACAGTTGGATTGCTGTATTTGAGGTGGATTTGATTTAAATCAAATTAATTTAAATCACTAGCCAGTAAGCATTGTATTTTTTTAAAAAAATCTGTTTTAAATAAAAAAAATTAAAAATAGAAAATGGATTTAAATTAAGGAGTCTGTACGGGACAGCCCTGACGTCACCTGCCCGTCACAGAGGAACCTTGATGGGAGAGCCAATAGAGAGAGCAGAAGGCGGAGTCAGAGGCGGAGAGAGGAGAAGAAAAGACCAGTGATGACAGTTTTTTGACGGTTCCGTAGCTTGGAAGCAGTTTGGAAAGAGTTAGAGAGCTGTAGGCTTGGGAATTGGACCAGGAGGGTCAGAGATAGAGAGAGTTAAAAGAGTGATTTGAATGAATCAAACCTTGTTTAATATATGTGATTTGCTTCCTGTGATTTTCACTGCAATTTCCAACTGATTATTAGCCCCACCCTGTTCAATAAACTGATTGTGTTTGGTAGCATAAGTGTCCAGTACTTAATTGATGTTAAAGAGATAACATCTGGTGGCAGCGTAAAGAGGAGGAAAGAGCGTAACCCTTGTGAGGACAAATAAAATAGGGGCCACAAGGGCGAGCGCCACAGAGTCTTATATAATTTTTTTAAAATTCATTTTTTAATTTAATTCAGATTTTTAAAATAAAATGCTTACTGACTAATGATTCATAATCGTATTCAAATCAATTTGATTTAAATCAAATCCACTCTGACTGTACTAAATTCTGATTACTCTGCCTAGAAAAGGATATTATAGAGATGAAAAAGGTGTGGAAAACTCTTCTGAAAGACTTTGTCCTGCAACAATTCTCAAAGATTATAGGCAAAGACTCTGAGATTGCATGTGCAGGTTCTTTTTATAGCCTTGAAACATGGTCACGTCTTACAGAATTACTAATATTTCCACCTCATTGGTCAGTTCTTTCTTGTTGCCCAAACAACTGATCCCCTTGTCGCTTGTTCCACCTCTGAAAAGTTTCAGCAAGGCAAGTCAGAAATTTGTTACCTTACATTCCTGGAAAAGTTGGACTTCCGAAGACAAATAAAATATCTCTTATTCCTTCTTTTCAAATGTTTGGTAATATGACTTTGCTCACTCTGAGGTTGCAAATATACAGTGAGAGAAAAGCAAATGATAAGTTGTACTCAGGAAGTCAGGGTTCCTTGTGTGAATTTACCTTAGCCAGGGACACCGTAGAGAATGGAGGACAGGCAATGAGCCTTGTTTGCACCCTATTAAGGTAGCTCTGATGTGACCGTGTAGTAAATAACAGATAGAGATGTACAAAATCATATAAAAGTTAATTAAAATAGATGTCCAAGATTTTTTGCTGCCATGAAATAATTAGTTGTCTAGTTTCTGCAGTCAAGCTAGTTATGTAGCTTTTGAAAAAAAGGTTCTGCAATCAGCTGCCATTTTGAGAAAAGAACTGGTTAAAAACTGTGCAGTAAATTTTTAATAGTCTGTCTCACATGTTTATTATCTTCTGAGGAAGGCACATTGAAAAATGTTTTCCCCCAGCAATCTTCCATAAGGGCACTAAAGAGCAGTAATGCTTGCCTTCTTTAAAGTGCCAACGATTGTCACCCTGAAGGGGTCCATTTGCAGCACTGATTCTGCACTGTCTCTCCTCCTAGGACCCTGCGTAAGGAGCCGGTTTTCAATGATGAACTCCCCAGCCGTATCACTTGTGGATCTATCGTGGTGAAGCCCAATGTGAAGGAATTTACAGAAACCTCCGCCATATTTCATGATGGGACCGTGCAGGATGGCCTTGACTATGTCATCTTTGCAACAGGCTATTTCTTTTCCTACCCATTCATGGATGACCAATCCATAGTCAAGTGCAGGAACAATGAAGTCAACCTCTACAGAAGCATTCTTCCTCCTCGACTGGAGAAACCCACCATTGCAGTTATTGGCTTAGTCCAATCTCTTGGATCAACCATCCCCACCGCAGATCTTCAGGCTCGCTGGTCCACAAGAGTATTTAAGGGTTTGTGTCACAAACTGACAGTAGTAGCTGAGTGTCAGGGCTGTGGCCTGCAGCCACTGGCCTTGCAGTTGGGTGGATTCCGTGACTGACTTTTTAAAGCTGTAATTGGAAAGGGGAGGAATGGAAAGGAAAGGAAAAGAAACGAAAGGAGGTTTTGCTCCCAGTGCCAGCGGCTCCTGGAAGCAGAGCTTGAAATATACATGGTGTGCATCCATAATGTTCATGTGTGCAAGAGCGAGGGGGGAGGGGCAGAGCGAGTGAGCGAGCGAGAGATGGAGAGATGTGGGCAAAAAACACACATATAAATCAGTAGCAAAGGGAGCACCTCTCCACTCCTTAGGCCTGCCTGGTGTGAGGAAATGGTGATGGAAGCCCCATGTCTGTCCAGTCAGAGCATCCAGTACAGCAGTGGCAGCAGTGACTGAAAGAACAGGCTTTTCTTCAGTTCAGTTAGGTAGTAAATATGAATGGCCTGTATTGCTTATCAATAAGAATGGAGAATAATGTTTAAAATGAAACATTTGGTGAAGATCAAGGGGTTGCGCTGCAGGAAGAAGACAAAGCCAAAATTGGTTCACCCCCATCTGCTTCCCTTTTTGGCTTTCTCTTCTCTGGCCCCTCCAGCCCAACTATTCTGTTTATGTCTATGGAAGCACCACAGGTGCCAACATGCTGTTTCCTTGAGGGAAGAAACAGCCTAGTAACAGGACCTCAGCGGTGAGAACAGGCCCTGTAGGGAGCTGCTTATGCTTTCTCATCTTCCTCGTATAAGGAAGAGCCATCATACAGTGAGCTGCAGGGAACCATTATAGAGTAGGCCACATTAAGGCCACCCCATATCTGTTGCCCTAAGCCTATGGGGCAAAACAAATTGACACTCAGCCCTAAAACCAATGTAATATCACAGAAGTCTTGCCATGTATTCTCAGCTCGTGTGTGGAGGGGCCATGCCAGGTGCTGTATGCTCAAGAACCCCAGCTTGCTTCCTCCTTAATGGCAAACACCTCTGTTGCTGCACCAGACCAGGAACAGCCTTAATTGCCTATTACAACCTTGCAGTACATAAAGCCTAAGGAACACACTTTTCAGACACAAGGATGAGCTCTTAGATGGCTGCTCCATAGCAGTGGGGTGTGTCTGGGCCGAAAATAGAGTGGCAGTAGAAGAGAGGAAGAGGCTATAATTGGAAACAGTGAAGAAATTAATACAAATAAACCATTTCTGAAGAAGTAGAAGAGAGGGTTTCAAAGCCCCCCACCATGCTGAAAAATGCAGATTATAGGGAACGCTGCAGGGTAAACCGCAGAAGCCTCTGTGCTGCAAGGTCAGAAGACCAGCAGTCGTAAGATTGAATCCACGCAACGGAGTAAGCTCCCGTCGCTTTGTCCCAGCTCCTCGCCAACCTAGCAGTTTGAAAGTATGCAAATGTGAGTAGATAAATAGGTACCATCTTGGTGGGAAGGTAAAACGGCGTTCCCTAGTCACGCTGGCCATGTGGCAACAGAAACTGTCTTCGGACAAGCGCTGGCTCTACGGCTTGAAAATGGGATGAGCACTGCCCCACAGAGTCGGACACGACTGGACTAAAAATGTCAAGGGGAACCTTTACCTTTACCTTTATTATGGTAGCAAATTCCATACATAGCATGGTCTCTAGCTCTTTCTAGTGGCCAGTTCTGGTAATGACATTATTAAAAATATATACCATATTTTTCATGTGCAAGATGTCTCCCATGTACAAGACATCCCCCCGCATTTTTTTAACCCAAAATTAAGAAATCGTAACTTAGCTTTGAGTATTCAGACTCTGGGCCCAGAACGCTCAGACATTACAAGTCCCTATTGTATCTGAGCACTGCCTACAGCTCCACCTCCCACAAGGTATCTTGAAATTGATTTGTTCAGCATCAGCTGACATCAGTTCCATAAGGCTTGTGATAGGAAGCTAAGTTTCCAGACAGTAGAATCCTAAGCCTTGCAATTGAAGGCAGCCCGTTTGCAGAGGGAAGGTATAGGCCATTTTGTTCTCTCCTCAGCTTATCTCTGTGTATAAGACAACCATCAATTTTTAGTCTAAAGATTTTAGACAAAAGTATCCTCTTATACACAGAAAAATACAGTGCTTCCAGGAATGTTTCTTTTAATATTTTTAATATTTTCAGACTGTGGATAAGTGAATAATCAGATACTGATCCCATAGATACAAGAGTCCTACTGTATCCACAAATCTCACATTGAAATTTAGCAGGTAGTCTTTAATGTACCACACTATTTTTGTTTTGTTTTCTGTTTCTTTTGTTTTGATTTTTGTTTTAATTTTTGTATGGATATTCTTGCAAAGATTAACACAACTACTTTGTTGAAAACCACTTCTGGGAACTCTTTCCACCAGCTCTGATACAGTAGCTATGCTTTCACTACTAAACATGCTCTGTTGCGTATTTGTGACTTAGGAAGCAAGGCTTGTCTATAAGCAAGCTGTCTAGGGACTGCTGAATGGCTCAGTTGTTTAGGTGTCTGGCTGTGGAGCAAAAGGTTAAGAGTTCATTCCACACTGTGCCTCTTGGACAGGGGCTGAACTCGATGATACATAGGGTCCCTTCTAGCTCTGCAGTTCAGTGAAGAAGAAGAAGATGATGATTAGCACAGCATTGAACTCCATATGTTGAGGTGATCTGTCATAACTTCATGTAGGATATTCTAAAATGCATGAACAGATTTAAAAGCAATGATAATCATCGTCTTAGAACTGCTGAGCTGGAAGGGAGTCCAGCCCCGTCAAGGAGGCACAGTGAGGAAATCAAACTCCGAACCTTTGGCTCCACAGCCGCATGCCTAAACCACTGAGCTATCTAGCAGTTCATAATCCATTGTTTTTTTCCCTATAGGATTATGTAAGCTGCCTTCAGAGAGCACCATGATGGATGACATAGATGAGAAAATGGGAAAAAAGCTCAAGTGGTAGGTCTCAAGTGTACACATGCCATTTTTATCCCCTGCACAATTTTTTTCTGCATTTGTCACAAATGGTAATATTAGCATTTTAAGTACCTCATACTAAAAACTATTATGTATTTTGAGTATGATAGTGCTTTTAATTTTTTAAAAATTATTTTACTGTCTCTATATTGTAATCCTAGTTTTTTTTTAAAAAAACTATAATGGCAGAAGATGTAACAATAGAATTGTACTCAATCCCATGTGGTAACTAACTAGAACTTCTTGATGTTATTTTGATGCAACTGCTATTGTAAATAAGAGAACAGGTAAGAAACAGGAGACTACATAGGCCACTGCTTCTCAACCTTGATATTCCACATGCTTTGGACACTGTCCTATTAGCCCCAATCAGCACAGTCAATGGTCAGGTATTTTGAGATCTGAAGCCCACAACACCTAGTACAGTGGCTCCCAACCTTGGGTCCCCAAATGTTTTTGGACTAAAACTCCCAGAAGCCTTCACCACTATCTGTGCTGGCCAGGATTTCTGGGAGCTGTAGTTCAAGAACATTTGGGGACCCAACATTGGGAACCACTGATTTAGAGGATCAAATGTTGAGAATCATTGATCTTGGCCCAAAAGCACTTTTAGGAGCAGATTATACATTAATGATAAATAGCCATTACTTTCTTTTTTAAACATTATTCCTTCAGGCATGAAAAAGTGTATCTTTCAATGCTACATGCCTTGAATAATCAAAAAACAAAAGCAGAGTAATTTGTTGAATGCAGACTGAGGCATGCTCATGTTAGAATAAACATTTTTTCTTTCCTATGACAAAAACTTATAACTTTGAAACTGGTCTTTGGATCAACACCAAATTTGGCATAGAAGTAACAAGCAGTATGCTCTTATTTGGTTCCAAATTTGGGGGCATTTGGACAAAAAGTTTTTGAGGTACAGTTTTTTAAAAGTAAATCTATTTTCCCTTGTTCAGAAATACGTGACCCTAAACATTCCCAGATTTAAAATAGTTCATATAATTTGAAAAGATCAATCTTGTTTATCTTGGCCCCAGCTACTTTTTTATTTGGAAGGAGTCCAGGCTGCAGGAACTAAAATATTGATCCTCAAAAGAGGCCTTTCAAATGGAAAAATGAGTAACTTTGTTAACTGTGCATATGTGGTATAGGCTTGCCAGGCAAATGATACAGTATATCATATTGGTGAGGGAGAATTATAAGTCAACAGAAGTTAACAGTTATTACAGAAGGAGTGGAAAAATGAATTTGCCTTACCAGACCTTTGTGGTGGTGCAGTGGTTAACCTGCTGGACTGCATTCAAAACTGTGCTCACAATCTGGAGTTCAATCTCAGGTAACTGGCTCAAGGTTCATTCACCCTTGCAAGGCCAGTAAAATGAGTACTCAGCTTGCTGGGGGTGGAGGTGTCAATGTGTAGCCTGCATAATTAACTTGTAAACTGCCCAGGGAATGCTTTAAGTGCTGTGAGGTGGTATATAAGCAGCATGCTTTTAAAGAAAGTCATGGAGGGATAGAAAGGTGGGGGGGGACTATCACTCCATTATTTTCTTTAAACGCATGCTGCTTATATAACCACCCCACACCACTTTTTTTCCTACAGGCAGATATTTTGCCTGCAGGAAAAAAAGATGGAAACTTTACATATCAAAGGACAGCCTGAATATTGACAACACCCATGGCATCAGTCAAGATGTTCTACAGAATACTCTTCTACTCAGACCCATTCACATTTGTTGAAAAAGAGTCCTAACAATTGCCTTGTGTGTGTGTGTGTGTGTGTGTGTGTGTGTGTGTGTGTGTGTGTGTGTGTGTGTGTGTGTGTGTGTGTGTGTATTCTGTGCCATCAAGTCAGAATCAGCTTGTACCAACGCTAAAAGAGCCTTCAAGGTAAGTGATATATTGGAGGAGTACCACTGCTCCGGTAACCTTCCATGGCCAAATGTTCTCCAGAGTCCCAGTTCATAGCTCTGTCCACTACACCACACGGGGAATCACATGTTTGGGTGAGAAGTGGTTAACTGATTGAGAAAAAAGTGGCAGATTCTGAGATTTTTCCTTTTTTGGTGTCACTTTATGAATGACAGTGAGCACAAGGGGGTATTCTATAAACCAGCTTGATTGTTGCTTTTGGTGTTGTCAACACTCAGGCTGTCATTTATTGTGCAAAGCTTCACATCCTTTTTCCTGCTGGCAACGTGGGCACAATATTGTGCAGCAATACTGGCCATTTCTTGGCATTTTGAAATGTGAATAAAGGAGCCTAATATCCCACATTTGTAAACTAGAGATTTTAGAAGAATTAAATCATTATGTGAAAAAAAGTTACTTTGGTCCTGAAGTAATCAATTGAACAATTAATGAGGCAAATCTTCAGCTTACGGCCCACCCTTGAGTTACTTTGAAGACAGCTGCACTATCAAGTGGTATCAGATTTTTACCACGTTGAATGGCAGCGCAGGCAGTGGCCTGAATCTGATTTTGGGGAATTCATGTGCGCAGGGGGAGTCAGATTGCCGCCCCTGTTAAACCAAAGCCATTATTTTTAACTGGCCAACATATCTGGGTTCTAAGATGTCCCTAAATCGTCATTATCTTAGTACTGCAGAACTGGAAGGGAACCTATGGATCACTGTATCCAGAGAGGCACAGCCCACAAACTCCCAACTCTGATTCTGCAGCCAGATTCTCAACTACTGAGCTATCCAGTAGTTCTATTCTTGAGACCTGATACGGTTTGCCCCCACATAAGGCAGTCACTGCTAGCAACTCTTCAGGTTGCTAAATAGCTCTCAGAATAACACATGTATGCAGTTCTGCCAGTGATGCAGAGTTTTAGCTCTTGAGCTGACCGGGTTTCATATAAAAGGAAGGTGTATACATTTGTAACAACTGGAGGTTAATCAAGGCTAGCTAAAGAGGATGCCTTTTACAAGCTGATGAGCTACTCCACTGGGTATTTTTGCATTTCAGAACAAAGAATGTACTGTTATCTGACATACTGCATGTCATGATTGCCTTGTTCAAGCCTAGAGAAGAAGCTTGTCTTCTGACCACCAAGTTGCTTAGTGTGATATGTTTGTTTCTGTGTCCCATTATTCTGTGTCCATATTTTCAAGCCATGATTTTCCGAAAGAACCCAAAATTCGGATTGCTCAAAACCAAATAATGTTCTCTTTAATATGATCCTTAGAAATGCATCTTCCTGCTTTTCTTTAAGGTTCGGCCAGAGCAATACCATACAGACGGATTACATTGTCTACATGGATGAACTTGCCTCTGACTTAGGTGTGAAGCCCAACATTCCACTCCTGTTCCTGACAGATCTGAAGCTGGCTCTGAAGGTTTATTTTGGCCCCTGCACTTCCTATCAGTTTCGTTTGAAGGGGCCAGGGAAGTGGAATGGGGCCAGAAATGCCATCTTCACACAATGGGACCGAACACTGAAGGCCACAAGGACCAGAGTTGTACATAGCTCTGAAAATCCCTTCTCACTCTTTCCTTTACTCCCAATAATGGCACTTGCTTTTCTCCTTGTTGCTTTGTTGCTAATGTTTAATTGAGTAATTATAAACTCACAGTACAATAATTGCACAATGATTATTTTCTATTCACTAATAAGTACAACAGTTTAATTATAATAATAATAATAAATTTTGAACTGCAAAACTGGAAGGGACCCTACAGATCACTGAGTCCAGACCTTCTCAAGGAGGCACAGTGTGGAATTGAACTCCCAGCCTCTGACTCTTCAGCCAGAGACCTAAGCCATTGAGAGCCCACTCTACATGGATATGGGGCTAAGCACTTTCCCCATGGCTGTTTCCTCCCCTAAATTCTGACTCATACATGTTGCAGCTAAAGAAGAAACAACAACTGTATTGGTGTCCATTTAGATGTTTCAATATACAAATTACAGACAGGGCCAATGACAGGGTCTGACTGATATACAGGAGAATAGGAGAAATTATATTCCTTGCTCACTTTTCAGAATTGCTTCAAGGATTTGGATCTTCAGTTGTTTGCCTTCTTGCATATCTGGAGCAAAGACAATCAATCAATCAATCAATCAATCAATCAATCAATCAATCAATCAATCAATCAATCCGGCATAAGATGCCACGTAATAAGGTATGTTGATTCTCTTATAGTTCATTTATAGTTCATGTAGTACTCATGGCCAGAACTGATATCTTTGAATTGAAATGTGAGGTCTTTTAGGCTTCTCCCTGGAATGCTAGCTGGCAAGTCTGAGGATGGGACTGCCCAGAGAAGGAAAAGTCAATTCACTTGCAACCACGTGCTGTGAAGTTGCACAAGGAAACTGAAGTCTCTTCACATTAAGTGGCTGTGGTGTCTGCCCAGGTCATGAATATTCATATGCTATCTGCGTAGACCAATGGGAGTGCTGAAGGGGGAGTCACAAGATATAAGAGACTCAGCAGGAGGAGGGGGAGTTAGATAAGGAGTTTTAGTTGAGGAAATTGTGAATTTAGGGAGTTTTGGAGTTTGGGCGGGAGACTGGTGGGTGATAGTGGATGAAGGAGGATGTCTGTTAAGAGTTAACGACATTGCTTGAAGTATCTACATTTGTAACAATAAACAATTTCTATTTTAAAATGACATATGGCCTGGACCTTGATTATTAATAACAGGTAATATTGATGTAATCAACTGGTGGCAGCTGAGGGGCACGTAGCATGAGTTCTTAGTTTGGTGAAACAAGCAGGGGCCATGTGGGGATTGTGACAAGTTGGTGGCACAATGCTGGGATCTGAAGCAATCCAGTGAAAAGTTGAATGGGCTTGAGTTTGAAGGTATTCCTAACTAGAAGGGGTTAGGATCTGTGGTAAGAAGTAGTTACCTGTTAGAGTCTTGGTGAAGACTTAGTTTGGGGGCTTCTGAACTCAGCTCTGGGGAATCCTAAGATAAAAAAAATACCTACTCAATAAAAACCATTTAACCTCAAGATTTACAAGATCTAGTGGCTAGCTCAAAATCCGGAGCTCTGAGGGTAAAGAGCAGTGGTGGATAGAGTGGAAGCCTAGGTCAGGATAGGTCTGAGATGATTAGGAAAGCTAAACAGAATGTTGTTCTTGTGTCTGGAGACAAACATTGCCCAGACAGGGAAATATTGTGACAAGGGTTGTGAGCTTGGGAGTAGCTGAGGCAAGCTGCTTGGAAAAATGCAACCTAGTTACAAGGAAAGCCACTGAAAGAAAAAAAAAGGTTTGTACTTTTGACTTTTGTGATGGAAAAGAACCAGTCCAGGTTAATAAGAAATTCTATTGTTTATGCCGTTCAAAAGAAGTTAAAAGTCAGTTATGGAGGCACAATTTGAACCCCAGAGTGCTAAGGAAAATGGGAACCATCAAATTCAAAGGGAGGGAGAGGCAGGGCTTGTTGCAGTGTTGTCAGCAGCTCCAGGAGAAGCCGCGGGGAAAGCTGGAACCGCCCAGTCTGAGGGTCCTTCAGAATATGAAGGACCAAAGGGGAGACTAGGAGAAGTCTCCCTGAAGCAGTTGGTGAGCAACAGAAGGGAAGGAAGCCAGGCAGCAACCTGGTATTTCTTCCCTCTGAAAAGATCATCTGAGCACAGATCAGATGTGAGAGCCATCTTGGGCAGTTAAGCTGTGAGTAACCCACCCCCTATGGAGGAGAGGAGAACAAACAGATACTGCGTTGAAAACTGACAACAATAAAGTAAGTTGAAGCCTTTGATTTATGAACAGCCCCATAAAGCGGAAAGAGAAACTAGAGTGCAGAATATTTGGCCGAAAGAAGGAAAGAAGCGGCTAGCTTGCTTACCGGTCCTGCTGCCTCAGAAAGTGAAACTAACTTTTAGCCTGCAGGCTGGTTAAGGCCGAACACGAAAGACTGAGAGAAAAAAAAAAACTGATTCTGGAAATAATCCCAGAGTGTCATGAGTGCATCCGAAGACCTGGAACCAGAAGGGTTAACTGAGGCT